TGCTGTATGCCAAGAATGAATTATCTGAAATAGAAATCAAGAATGCAACACTACTTATAACAGCTACAAAAAAAACTAAAAGACTGGGCCAGGTGTGGTGGCTCACTTCTGCAATCCTAGCTACTCAGGAGGCAGAGATTGGGAGGGTCATGATTCAAAGCCATCCCAGGCAAAAATTCACGAGACATCATCTAAGCCAACAGCTGGACACGGAGGTGTGCATCTGTTACCACAGCTGTGTGGGAAACATAAAATAGGAGTACCTCAGTCCATACTGGCAGGCATACACTGAAGACCCTATACTAAAAATAACTAAAAGCCAAAAGGATTGATGAATGGCTCAAGTGGTAGAATGCTCAGGAAGTATAAAGGCCTGTGCTCAACCAAAAACAAGCTAAAATAATTACAAATCAATATTATCAATAAGGTGAAAGAAGTCTACAAAAGAAATTAATAAACACTGATGAGAGAAATTGAAGTGAACACATAAAAGTGGGCATGTTCATAGATGGAAGAGTCAATATTATTAAAATGCCCATAACACCCAAAGTGTTCTACAGATCAAGTGCAATCCCTATCAAAATGACAAGAGCATTCTTTACATAACTAGAAAGAAATTTATATGAAACCACAAAAAACCCAAATTAACAAAACCACCTTGAGCAAAATAACAAAGCAGACAGCATTACACTGCCTTACTTTAAAACATAATGCAAAGGTGTAGTAATCAAAAGCACGATACAAGCATAAAAACAAATGTAAACCAACAGAACAAAACAGAGAGCCAACAAGTAAGTCATTCATTTATGGCCACTGATTTTTTTGGAGAAAAGACAGTCTTTGTAGTAAGTGAGAATGGAAAATTATACATCTGCATGCATCGGAATGAAACTAGGCCCTTGTCTTTCACCAGTTCCAAAGATCAACCAAAAAAAACCTAAAAATTTAAATGTGAGACATGAAACTACTAGAACAAAATAGGGGAAATATTTCAGAACATCAGAACAGCATTTGGGGGAGCAAGATCCCAAAATCACAGAAAATGAAAGCAAAAATAGGCAAATGGGATTACAACCTAAATAGCTTCTTTACAGCAAAGAAAACACTCAACAGAGTGAGTGGACAACACACAGAAAAGGAGAAAATATTTGCAATGTGTACATCTGAAAAGGGGTCGACATCAAAAGTATATACAGAATTCCAAAAGTCATTTGTTCAATTAAATAAACGGACAAAAGATCTAAGTAGACATTTCTCAAAAGAAGACATATGAATGGCCAACAGGGACCTGGAAAAAATGCTCCACATCACTAATCATAAAGGAAATGCAAACCAAAACCACAGTGTGATATGACTTCTACCCAGGAAGAATGGCTAATATAAAAAAAATAATAAAGACAAAAAGTGATGGCAAGGATGTGGAGAAAAGGGAACCCGTGCACACCATCAGTGGGAATATAAATTAGCACAGCCTTTAGGAAACAGTACGGAGGTTCCTCATAGATAGAACGACAATATAATCAGCAACAACACTACTGACTACACAGCCAGAGTAAATTAGTGTGCTCATCTTGAGCTCTGCCCTTCCGGTTTCATTTCAGGACTATTCACAATAGCCAAGAAATGCAAAGTGTCCATCAACTGAAGGGTGGGCAAAGAAAATGTGGTGTTTATGGATGGTCCAGAGATAATCGTGTCGAGACAAGCCAAGCTCACAAAGACAAGTAACACGTTTTCACTTATATGTGGAATCTAGATCTAAAAACATAATGATATGATGTACAGATAGAGCAGGACCCTTAGATCCCAGCACAGTAAGCACTGTTAAGGGTGTAGGAGGGTGAATATGGTGGAATATTATGTACTCATGTATGAAAAAGGAAAAATGAGACCTGTTGAAACTGTTCTAAGAATGGGGGAGGGCAGAAAAAAGGAGAATGATGGAGGGGCAAATTTAAATATGAAGTATTGTAAGCACTTTTGGAAATGTTGCAATGTACCCCCTATACAACAACAATATAATAAAAAAATTTTTAAAGAGCTGCTGATCATAGCCAAAGAAGCAATGGAGAAACTGTACTATGGAGGTCAGAACTAAACTCAACACTCCAAAATGAACTGACATCCAGGACACATTGTCCAGAGAAGGCTATTCCCTAAAGAAGGCTTCACATAGCAATGAAAAAGTTAATAGGCTGTAAATTTCATTGACAATGCAATGGTGTCAAGAGGCATAATCTTTAAGAGATGATTAGGTCATGGGGGTTCTGGCCTCACAAATGTATGAATGCTCTTATCATGGGCGTAGACTAGTCATTAGTGAATGGTACCAAATGGAAGAGTGATTTCAGCCCCTTTCCCGCTCTTTCTTTCCCCCTCCTCCTCTCCCTCCCCTCTCTCCCTTTCCTTCTCTCTCTCTCTCTCTCTCTCTCTCTCTCTCTCTCTCTCTCTGTCTTGCCCCTCTACTTTCCACCAAGAGATGATGAAGTAAGGAAGTCCTCACCAAATTAACAATTCTCATTGTTGAACTTCCCAGTCTCTAGAACTATAAGAAGTAAATCTCTGTTCTTTATAAATTACCCAGTGTCCAGTATGCAATTACACATGCACAAAATGGGCTGAGACAGAAAAATCATACTGAGAAGTGTAGCTGTTGCAGTAACAATGGCTTAAAATGTTTGAAACTTGGTAATTGGTAGAGGAGCAAGCTAGAAAAAGCCTAATGTCTATTCTGGGCGCTGGTGGCTCACACCTGTAACCCTAACTACTCAGGAGGCAGAGATCAAGAGGATCATGGTTCTCAAGACCTTATCTTGAAAAAAATCCACCACAAAAAGGGTTGGTGGAGTGGTTCAAGTGGTAAGAGCACCTGTCTAACAAGTATGAAGCCCTGAGTTCAAACCCCCAGAATCACCACCCCACAAAAAAGCCTAATGTCCATGAATTGACATTAAAGAAAAATAATTAAAGGCTCTGTAGATGACACAACCTGTAGGGAAAGCCTATGTCTTCTCAGGGATGACTTAACTGGTCGTGATCTGAATGTTTATAGAAACATGTACATAAAAGGACACTGTGATGAGGTCCCAGAAGAAATGAAGAACAAGGAACTGGAAACTGAACATAAAGCTGTCCTTTGTATACAGTTGGAAAAAACTTGGCTGAATTGTTTCTGTGGCCAAAGGCTTTACTCAAGGCAAAACTTAAGAGCATCAAATTAGGGTATCTGTCCTAAGAATTTTCTACGCAGGAAGGTGTTCAAGGTGAGCCAGGGTCTTTTTTAACTGTAAACTGAGAGAAAATAGAAGTTATATAAAGATATAGCTAAAAAAAAAAAGTAGTAAAAAAAAATTAAACTCCAGGAACCAGTGGCTCATGCTTGTAATCCCAGCTATTCAGGAAGCAGAGATCAGGAGGATCGCAGTTCAAAGCCAGCCCCAGCAAAGAGTTCACGAGACCCTATCTCGAAAAAAAACCATCACAAAAAAGGGCTGGTGGAGTAACTCAAGGTGTAGGACTGAGTTCAAGCCCCAGTACTGCGAGAAAAAAAAAAAAAAAGAATTGAAGCTGAAGCTAGCCATGGAAAGAATTTTTGAAAGCATGTTTGGGAGAGAATGCTAAGGAAAATGGCAAGCAACTATTTTCTACAGAGATTGCTATAGTAGAAAGAGGCATGTTCTGCTCATCAAGAAAACAGCCCTGACAGCTCTTAGAGATGTCAAGGCAAGTTAAGGACACTGAAAGTGAGGTTTCCAGAAAGGTGTTGTATGGACCTCACCATTCATTGCTCTGCACCACCTCAGGACTGTGCTCCCTGAATTCCAATGCAGTGCCCTTGGAAACCCCAGCCATTGTTCAAGTGACCCCAGATGTGGTTCAGACTGCTATTCTAGGGCTCAGGAAGATACTTGTCATGGGGCATGACCAGAGAGTCCCCATTTAGGGCCATGCCAATAGGCCCATGGAGTAATGCAATCCCCAAGACCCCAGAAGAGTGGGGCTTCCAGCATGCAACTCTATCCTGGAAAGCTAGGCAGGAGAATTCAACCTGTAAAAGCTTCTGTGTGAGTTGAGTACAACAAAAACATGTGTTCAGTGCTGTCTGAGACCTTAGAAGTACAACCCCTACCCCCAATATGTCAGAGATGTGGACATTTAATTGGCAAATTCTCAAAATGTTCCAGAAAAAAATAAATTACAAGGTCAGGCACAGTGGTACATGCCTATAATCCCAGCTATTAATAAGTAGAGATCAGGAGGATCGCTGTTCAAGGCCAGCTCAGACTTAAAGTTAGTGAGACCCCCCCCCCCGCCATCTCAACTAAACAAGCTGGGCATGGTGGTTCACATTTGCAATTGCAGATATGTAGGGCACGGATGAGAAAATCACACTCTGAGGCCAGCTCTGGGCAAAATGTAAGACCTTATCTAAAAAATAACCTAAAGTTGGAGTTATGGCTTAAGTGGTAAAGTACCTACTTTGTAACTGTGAAGCCCTGAGTTCAAGCTCCACTCCCACAAAAGTAAGTAAGTAAATAAATAAATAACCTAAAGCAAAAAGGACTGTCTCAAGTGGTACAGTGCCTGCTTAGCAAGTGCAAGGGTGAAGACATACTATGTACTCACATGAAAATGGAACAATGAGACCTGCTGAAACTATTCCAGGAATGGGGGGAGGGAGGATAAAGGAGAATGATGGTGGGGTGAACTCTTTTGTAAATGTCGCAGTGCACCCCCAGTACAACAATAATAAAAAAAGATTTAAAAAGTCTTTAGTCTCACTTTTAAAAAAAACAGTAGTGTCAAAAATAATAAACAAATACATACAGAAATAACAGGCTATACTTTTGTAAAGTCTATTCTGATCCTACATAGTGAAGAGCTATTCTTTTAAAGAATAGCAAATTTGTTTCAGAAATATAAACTAATCCCTTGAGATAAGGCCCTAATTAATAGGATATGTAAAAGAGACTGCAGATGACCACAAGGACAGCACTTGCCTCTTTTTCAGCATCTTTAAATGATGTCTCTTTCTCCTTTACTCGCTGCATGAACTTCTGCTTCAACTCTTCCTCTTCCCACTGGCACTGGTCCTGGAACTCTTGTCTCTTGGTTTCATATAGCTCCTGAAAGCTGAAAAGGAAATAGTATTATTCTTATGTTAAAATGCTAACACAAATTAACATGTAGACTGAATATTAGCATGTTAGGTTCTGTAACATGACATTCACCAATATTCTCTTATGTGTAGTAACACAAAATGGAGATGTCTATATCATGAGATGTAAAAACTAAGACACAATGAGTAATATGAGTAAAGTCTAAATAAAGAACGTAAGAATTCTTTTTTTTTTTTTTTTTTTTTTTGCGGTACTGGCGTTTGAACTCAGGGTCTTCACCTTGAGCCACTCTGCCAACCCTTTTTTTATGGTGTTTTCAAGATAGGGTGTTGTGAACTATTTGCCCAGGCTGGATTTGAGCCGAGATCCTCCTGATCTCTGCCTCCTGAGTAGCTGGGTTCACAGGTGTTAGCCACCAACGCCCAGCTAGAACACAAGAATTTTGAGAAACTTTTCTTGGCAGTACTGAAGTTTAAACTCAGGGCCTCAGGATTGCTAGGCAAATGCTCTACTGCTTGAGCTGTGCCCCCAGCCCAGAATTTTGAAACATTTATGTCACTCTCTGTTATATCATACTTATTCACATCTTTGGGCAATAAAGTTGAAGGAAACTGGTAAGATCTGAGACTATCTCAAAGTAGTTCAAACAAAGAAAGGGATCCTTTCACTTATGATAGTTCCATATTGATTGTCTTCAAAGAACCATAATGGATATAAATGGATTGTGATAATAGTGTTACCTGGCTGGCAGAGTAGCTCCAGTGGTAGAGCACCTGCCTAGCAAGCATAGGACCCTGAGTTCAAACCCCAGTACCACCAAAAAAAAAAAAGTGTGATCAGTGCTATCCATACCTTTCATCACAAATACTATTCCTCTTCAATATGGCTCTCAAAATTCCTTCACTTTACTTCAAGGACATTTCTGTTTTTCAACACTTCACTCCATCAAATTCTTTTTAAAATCCTCTGTCAAATTTGTCAATCTTTGCTAATATCTGACCATTTCCCTCTGAGCATCTATTTTATGTAAATACAAAAATTCAAAACTATAACATTTTTTTCCTTGCTTACACATCTCACTATAGGCACACCCTGGAGATGCATATTCCAACATCTAAAAGAGTCCTCCACCATGCTGTTCCTTCTGTGTCCATCTGTGTGAAGATAATTTGAAAGCCTAAAAATTCACTTTGGACCAGAATGAGAGAAGTACTCTTTATTTCATTCCCAAATGATCAGACCTTGTGGTTTTAGGGAGTTTCTAAGTCATCATTTAGGTGTGGCAGTGATGCACACACTTACCTCACTGGCTGGTTGTCGGGACCCACATCTGTAAAGCCCAGGTTCTGCAGCTTGCGGCACCTGTAGCATTCATAGTGATGAAAGTGGGTGTGTTCTTTCAGGTCTTCCATATTGGTACAAAGAAGCATGTCACGCAGCTTAACAAAGTCACAGTGGTTTTCATTTTCCACTAGTCAGAGAAATAAATCCATGGCACTCACTACCAATTGCTGGCATTCAGCAAACATTCTCAAATCAATTCATGGATGATAAACATTTAAAATAATAGCTATATGATGGTATCTATATTTCTGATTAACAGCTAAAATTCTTTGAACTATGTATCTGGTTACTCTGTCTCGGTAATATTAAGCATAGTTAAAATAAAAAAGAAGCCAGGCATCGGTGGCTCATGCCTATAATCCTAGCGACTCAGGAGGCAGAGATCAGAAGGATCAAGGCGTGAAGCAAACAGTTCATGAAACAAACCCTATCTTGAAGATACTCAACACAAATAAGGGCTGGTGCAGACTTTCAGGCAATAAGAGCACCTGCCTAGCAAGAATGAGGCCCTGAGTTCAAATCCCACTACCACCAAAAAATAAAAAAGTTAAAATAAAATTGCTCTAAATTTATTTCATTAGAATAAGTAGGAAGAAGCAAAATTAAAAGTTATTTTAGTATATATATAATAAGTTTTCATGAAAATTGTATTAGTGTCCTATAAACTACCATCAAGATATTTCACAGCTAACAGATCATGCAATATAACTTCAACAAAGTAAATAATTTTTAAAATAAATTCTTCTAACAAAAATACCTTAAAATCATACAGGTTTTAGTTATCAAATTCCACTTATGTGCCACATTTATGATACTGCATTAATCAGTATTCAAAATCAATGAACACATTCATCTAATTCTTGTAATTCATTTTTAACTGATACAGAAAGCCATAAATCTTGTACATATTACGCAATACCAAGTAACATCTGATACATGTATACATTGTGCAATATTTAAATCAAGTTGCATGTATCCTCAAACTTGTATCATTTTTTTTGGCAGTACGGGGGTTTGAACCCAAGGCCTCATGCTTACTAGGCAAGGCACTCTTACCACTTAAGCCACTCTGCCAACCCTGTGTTATGTTGAGTATTTTCAAGATAGTGTCCCATAAACTATTTCCCCAGGCTGGCTTCAAACCTCGGTCCTCCTGATCTCTGCCTCCTAAGTAGCTAGGATTACAGGTGTGAGTCACCAGACTCTTATCATTTCTTTATGATATAAATTTTCAAATGTTTTCTTCTCTCTTTTTGAAATATAGAGTACATTATGGTTGTCTGTAGTCACTATACTGTGCAACAGTCTACAGGAGCTTTTTTTATTTGGCAGTACTGGGGTTGGAACTCAGGCTCTCATGCTTGCTAGGCAGGTGCGCTACCACCTGAGCCACTACACCAGCCAGCCCCCACCCCTCCACCCCACCAGTAGCTTCTTGCTCCTATATAACTGCCATTGAGGAACCTTTCCCTGTCCCACCCACTGGCCCTAGCCTCTGGTAATCACCATTCTACTCTCAATTGCTACAGGGTCAACTATTTTAGATTGCACACAGGAATGAGCTCATGCGGTTGGCACTTGTCTCCCTGAGCCTGACTTATTTCACTTAACATAATGATCTCCAATTGCATCCATGTTGTCACAAATAATGGGATTTCTCTGTCAGGTTTATGTTAGGGTTGGTTGACCATTTACTTTTACTTTGTGTGTGTAACTTAATTGACTTTTTCATTAACATGTATCAATTGTACAAATTAATGGGCTTCACGGTGACATTTCCAGTACATGCATATACCATGCGTTGATCAAGTCATCCTCTTCTACCCTTTCTCACACTCCCTTCCTCTCCCCCCAGTGCTTACTGCATCTGTAGTCTACACTTGGACCATATTTCTTTTTTTTTTTTTGGTGGTGGTGGTACAAAGGTTTGAACTCAGGACCTCACACTTGCTATGCAGGCTCTCTACCACTTGCTACTCCACCAGCCCTTTTTTGTGTTGTGATGGGTATTTTCGAGATAGGAGCTCATGAACTATTTGCCCAGGCTGGTTTCGAACCGTGATCCTCCTGATCTCTGCCTGAGTAGCTAGGATTACAGGTGTGAGCCACCAGCACCCAGCAGTGTAAGAGTTCTGTAAGGTACTGTTAAAATTGATTGAAGTATCCTATTGAGAATTTTTACACCTATGTTCATCAGGGATATTAATCTATACTTCTGTTTTTTGTTTTGTTTTTATTAGACTTTGGTAGCATGGTAATACTGGTTTTATAAAATCATAGACTTGTCTGAGAAGCATTATGTTAATTCTTCTTTAAAAGTCTGGTAAAATTCAGCAGTGAATCCATTCAGTCCCAGGCTCTTTTATTGTTGGAGACTTTCTCATTGTAGAGGCATTTAACATCTTTGGTTAATATATTTTAAAAACAAATCATACATCTCTCTCCTGTGTTTATCACATCCAGAAAACTTATCATGGCACACTGTCTATTGTGTAGGATATAGTGACCAAATTTTATACATCTATACATATACAATATAATGAATACAATATATTAAAACATTAAGTTTTTAAACTATGGTTCATAAATTTAAATTTTTCAAATATGTCAATTTAAAAAAACATCTGGAGCCAGGTGCCAGTGGTTCCTAACTACTCAGGAGGCAGAGATCAGGAGGATCATGGTTTGAAGCTAGCCCCAGGCAAACAGTTTGCAAGACCTTTATCTCAGGGAGAAAAAAAAAATCACACAAAAAAAGTGGCTGGCAGAGAGATGCAAGTGGTAAGAGTGTGAGACCCTGAGTTCAAAAACTCCAGTGCTGCCAAAAAAAAAAAAAAAATTCACAAGAAAGAACATTTGGAGACCAGTACAGGTAGAAATCCTCCGTCCTCAATAATTTGTACTACAGATACATGAGCAAGAACACAAATCACTCTCTATTACAATATTCAATTCATTTTGATGCTAAATAGGTTAACAAATGTCAAAGATACAATTTAGCCAATGGTATACTGCACTTCTTTGATTTAAGTAGTAGTTGGCCATTCTTGTTTTTTAGTGACCACTTCAGAATACTTTCGAAATTAGTGGTATTTTATGAAACCCATTTAAGCACTAGCATTCATCCTTCCATCTTGTTCAAGGCAATCCCCAGCATTCTGACTGCCCTGGTTCATGCAGAGAGGTAGTATTTATATGGTACAAGCAAGGAGTTTCCCAATCCTGGCAACCTATCAACTAAACTTCCTGCCAACTAAATTTCCCTTGTCACCTCCTGGGTTTGGGGTAATGATGGGAGCCTCTAATAAAGACTTCCATCTACCAGGGACCCTTAGATAGCCCTCTGTGCAAAGGCCCTGACTGCCACCCTCCCCCGCCCAATACCCCTTTCTAGCAGGAAAGAAGCCAAAGAGCAGTCGTTGCCCCTTTTCCCTAATGGCAGTTAGAGTTACTTCTTCACAGGGGGGAATCAGACAGAAGGAAGGGGACCCCTAGAAACCTCCATTATGTCCTCCCTGTGATCACAACCGATGGAAAGAAGGAAAGGAAGGACAGGCAGCATGAGGATCAGGACCCACCAATCAGAATGTTGCATCAACAGCCAACCAAAATGCTGCTTTCTGCATACCTAATTAGCACACAGATTGAGGAATGCTCTGGAGTGAATGGACAAAAACCTCAGATGATGTCATTTCTCGGGCACCCTCTCTTGAGACTCTCCCCTCAATTCTAGGGGCTCTACTCTCCCACTTTACTTTTTTCTATCTCAATAAATGCTCCCACTTTACTTCATCACAGAATGAGCTCTCTTTCATGATATTTACCTTGCAAAACTCCCCAAGGGTAGTGACGGCCTCTGACTATCCTTTTTCCAACTTTCACCTCATCCATACTTCCTACCACAGCAAAAGGTAACAATCCCTAGAAAATAAGAAGGATAAAAATTGAATTCTCTCAGAACAATGTGGTTTACTAGAGTCACTCTTTTTTTGTTTTGGAAATAACAGAGGTGGGACTATCATAGTAAATTTAATCCAACAAGCGATCTACCTGGATCAGATTTTAATACTTAGCAGAAAATAAACACTATCTGATTTTGCATCAGTCTCAAGTGGTATACACAATTAAAAACTATTTACTTAGAATCGACTAAAGCAAGACATTCTACTATGCTGTGGGAAATACTAAGAAAAACATGTTAACATATATACAATTTTTTTCACACTATATTCTAAATGCAGACACAGTGTTGAGAAAATAATACACAAACTTTCTTCATGCTATTCTTTTACAGTATATAGAAGATATACTATATCTTCTAGTATAGAAGATAAAGATAGAGACATTAAAAATAAAAGTGCAACAATTAATTAATGGCTACACAATGTAAAATATGCTGATTAACAGTAATATATATGTCCTGATGAATTTTAATATGATTTAGAGTAGGAAGGGGCCATTTGTGATCATGAGCATCAGAGAGAGTCTGAAAAATAAAGCCCAATGCCAGGGACATCTGAGAGGATGGTAAGCAAAGCCAGAAGGGACCACAGGTAAGGAGGAAGTTTGGGGCAATATGCAAAGACAGGAATGTACAAGAGAGACTCGAGGTCTGTCAGAAGTGATGTACATTGGTGTGTCTGGATAGGAATTTTGATAGTATAAAGGAAAATACTATGGTTAAAGTTTTGGCATTGTGTTAACTATTTGATAATTAATATTAGTTTATTATATGTTCATGATAAAAAATTATTCCATATAAGAATTTCCTATACTTGGGCTCCTAGAGATATGTCAGGAGAGGTGAAAATATTCAAGACATGATAAAAAAGAATTTAACACATATGAATAAAGAAAAAATATATATCACTCACCTTTTCAATAAAGGAATCTTTAAGCATCTTGAAATAAATAAGGTATGAAAAATAAGAGCAACGAAATTAACATTTATCAATATAAGAGGTAACTCTTATATTCTAGACCTGTGTGTCAAGTGCTTCAAAATGATTCTGGCAGATAAATCTCAAAAGAAACCCTAGAAGATGTATTGGTGACACAGATAACAGTTTTAGAGGTTCCAGTCCATGACAGACTAGTCCTGTTTCTTTGTGACAGCACAATACATCATGTGCCATCATATAGCAGCAAATGCAGAGGAAGTTCAGTCATCTTGTAGGTGGGAATGAAAACGAGGGAAGAAGAGACCCTGCATACTATGATCCCTTTCAAGGTCACACCTCAATGACCTCAAATCTAGGCCCCACCTCTTAAAATTTCTACCAACCTCCAATAGTACCATGGGCTGGGAACCAAACTTTTAGTACATGGGCTTTTGGGGCCCATTCCACACCCAAATTATAGCACTCTACTTCTGGATCCCAAAGCCTTATGTCTACCTCTTAAGGAAAAATGCATTCAAAAGAAGAAACACAAATGTCAAAGTCTTAAGTGTTCCAGCATTGCAGCACCAAGTTCACATAAAAACCAACACACAAATTACATGTGTCCACATACAATACCAGCATTCCTATTCCAAAAGGAAGCAATGGGGAAAATATGGAAAGATCATACCAAAGCAAGACCTAAATTCACAGGGCAAACATTGAACTCTAAGCCTTCATGTCTACCATCTGGGACACACTAAAATAGAATGTGAGCTCCCACAGAATTGGAGAACCCCACCCCTACAGCCTTGTTGCAGACCAATTTGTCACTTTCTTGGGATGGATCTGCTTAGTACCTGAAATTTCCCTCTGCAGGCATTCCACATTCCTGGTATCTCAGCCCCCTCCAAAACCACCCATTGATCTCTGCTTATAGCATTCTAGGCTTTCTCTAGCCCACTTCAATTTTTTCAAAAATCCTTCCATGAACCAATTCCAAACACTTCTGGACCTCATTATCAGGTATAGTCACAGCAATGACTGCACCTCTCTGTATCAATTTCTCTATTAATAACTTCCTCTCACTGTGAGAAGAATCAACACAACAGAGGAAAGGTATATTTTAGCTCATAACTTGTGACTAATTGGCCATTTTGCTTTGGGCCCACGGTGACAAAACACATCATGGCAGCACCACATGGTAAAGGAAGTTCCTTAACCTCAGGGCTAGGGATGAGAGGGAAAGAGACTGGCATCCCACACCCTCTCCAAAAGCCTGACTCAAATGGCAAAAGCCTCATTCTAGACCCAAACTCCTCATGGTTCCATTACTCATCCCAAGAGCACCACAGGATGGAAACCAAACTTTTAACGCAAGGGCTATCAGGGAATATTTCATGTCCAAACTATAACAAGCTGAATAGATATTTCTCAAAAGAAGAAACACAAATGTCATCTAATACATGGAAACTATTCAGTATCATTAGCCATTAAGGAAGGGCATGTTAAAAATTCAAAATGAGATGTCATCTCACCTCGGCTAGAATGGTTGTTGTCAAAAAGAAAAAAAGTACTAGTAAGGGTGAAGAGAAATGGTAAATCCTTTACATTATTGGTTTGGACATGAGTTAGCACAGACACTATGGATAGCCCTGTAGAGGTTCCTCAAAAATATGAAAACAATAAAAGCAGAAATCAAAAATAAGAAAAACTCTGAAGCTTTATAAATACCTGGAAATCAAAAAAAAACTTATGCAATGAATAGATGAAGAAGGAAATTTAAAAATTTCTTAAAAACAAAAGAAAATGAAGGCAAAAACATCAAAAAACCTATGGCATACAGCAAAAGCAATACTAAGAAGGAAATGTAAAACAAGCAATGCCCACATTAAAAAATGAAAGGAGAAACAACCTACCATTGCATCTCAAAAGAACTAGAGCCAGGCACAGGTGGCTCATGCCTGTAATCCTAGGTACTCAAGAGGCAGAGATCAGGAGGATCAAGGTTCAGAGCCATCCCAGGCAAACAGTTTGTGAGACCCTATCTCAAAAAACCCTTCACAAAAATAGGGCTGGTAGAGTGGCTCAAGGTGAAGGCCCTGAGTTCAATTCCCAGTACTGCAAAAGAGAGAGAGAGAGAGAGAGAGAGAGAGAGAACTAGAAAAAGCAAGAAAACGAAACCCCAAATTAGTAGAAGAAAGAAAAAGATTGGACCAGAAATAAATGAAATGGAAACTGTATAAAGGGGTGCCCGCATGCTCCTATGTATTATGTCACTATTCACAATAGCTAAGATACCAAGTCAACCTAGATGTCCACTGATGGATGAGAGTATACGTAGCATATTATTACACAATAGAATTATGCAGTGGAATATTATGGAATGTTATTTGGCAGAGTAAGGAATGCAATTCTATTCTTTGTAGCAAAATGGATAGAACTATGGGACATTATCTTAAGTGAAATGAGTCAGGCAAAGAAAGATAAGTACTGCATATTCTCTCTCATATGCAGAATTGAAAATCCAATCTTAATGTACCATAGTGATGACTAGAGGCTGGAAAGGGAGTTAGGGAATACAAACAGGTTGGATAATGGGTACCAAAACAGAGATGGAAGAATTCATTCATGAAGTTCCACAGAACACTGGGGAAAAAAGAATACACGAAGAACTCTTACAACTTATAATAAAAAGACAAAAATATCAATCTAAAACTGGGAAAGGGATTTGAATACATATTTCTCCAAGGGAGATATAAAACTACACACAATCCCATGAAAGGATATTCTACATCTGTAACTATCAGGAAAAAACAAATCAAAACCACTTTGCTCTACATAGCATGTCCAGATTTCTTTTAATTTTACATAATAGTAATTAAGGCAAAGAAATGAGTAAATCAGAACTTCTGGTACAGAAGTTTTAAACTGGTACAGATTTTTTTTAATTAATATAGTAGTTCGTCAAAAGATTGAGTAAAATAAGACTCAAAAATTCCACTTATAAGCATATATACCCAGGAGAAATGAAAACATGCCCATGCAAAGACTGTACACAGAAGTTCACAGCAACATTTTTCATAATATCCAAAGTATAGAATAAACCCAACTGATGAGCAGATAAAACTTTGCTATCCACACAGTGGGATTTGGCCACAAGAATGAAGTACTGAGCCAGGATCCAGTGACTCATGCCTGTAATCCTAGCTACTTGGGAGGCTGAAATTGGGAGGACAGAGGTCCAAGGCCAGCCCAGGAACTATTTCTCAAGACCCCATCTCTAAAATAACCAGAGCAAAATGGACTGGAGGTGTAGCTCAAATGGTAGAGCACCTGCTTTGCAAGTATGAAGCCTGAGTTCAAACATGAAGTGCTGAACATATTACAACAGTATAAACCTAGAAAACACTGTCTTGAGTGAAGGCAGATATAAAAGATGTCATATGTGATTACATTAATATAAAATGTCCAGAACATAGGAATCTCCATATAGACATATAAGATAAATTAACAGCTGTCTTAACTGGGGGAGGAGAAATAAGCAGAGGAGAGCTAAAGAGTAAAAGATTTCTTTTGGAAGTGATGAAACTATTCTAAAATTGACTGCCAAGATGGTTGCCTAGGGAGATCCAAAATGGCGGCTAAGGTAAGGGAATCAGAACTCCTAAGCTCTGTGACACCAGAAACCTCTGTGAGACGTTGGAGTTACACTGGATAATTCTGATTGCTTCTAGCCAAAATAATAACCATTATCACATTAGGTGCAGACAAAATTCAAAGACTAACCCTTAAATCAGCTTTTAGTTGCACCTAACAGCCACAAAAATACTACCCAGCACCGCCAGCAGGACATGTCCAGCCTTTGGCCCTGGGATAAAAGTCCCCAGCTACTTCTCCTTTTTTTTTTTTTCTTCTTTCTTCTCCCAACAAGCAGAAAACAGAGCATCAGTCAGAATCAAACTCTGCGACATCCTGGACCCCAGCCTATGGAAAGCCTCCCTACACCATGTCACACTAAAAACAGAGGCCCCATTTCTTCCCACCAGCTGGCTCCAAATCTGCCCGCATGAAAGTGCTGAAGGAACAGGTGAGCATCACACACCAGGCACAGCTCCCTAGTCCACCCCTCCCTGCAACCCCCCCATAGGGAAAATAATCCAGACAGCCCTGGGCAGACTGAACCCTCTCCCCACCCAGCAAAACTGAAAAACATTAACAGAGAACTGTAATCTAACACCAACATCGGAGGTGGGGGTGGAACACTGAACCTGCCTCAGAAAACAGGAGTGGAGCAAGGAGCCAAACTCTCAGCACTGAACTCTCAGAGATGCACACATAAAGCAGCAAAGGCTGAGAGCGGGGCGGGGCAACAAGCCAACCACCCAGAGGAGCCACCAGTACCCAGCAGAGATCAGGATGAGGCATAAAGGCTGAGAGAGGGAGTGGAGCAACAAAGCAACTTCCCAAAGGAACTGCCAGCACTCAGCAGAGATCAGGAAAAGTACAAAAGCCAAGAGCAAGGGTGGGAAGACAGGCCAACCTCCCAAAGCAGGGCAGGAGGTGAATCCCAGAACTGATCTCTGGGACAGAAGGCAGCATTCAAGACTGCATTGCCCCACCTTGCTGGGGGAGGAGCTGACCAAACAGAGCTACAGCTGAAGAACAACACAGCTGCTGCCTTGTGAAAACATCAGCTCCAATCACCCTGCACAAGCTGGCAGTCTTACCTCACCTCACAACTCCAACTAATCTTGTGGACAGAGAATGAAATACCATTCACAAGCCAGTCACCTAGCAAGACCACATCAGAGCTTCTCCTTGAATGCCAATACCAGGATTGGACACCTAAGGAAAACCTCCAGAACTTTTAAAACAAACTGAACTTTTTGTGGTTCCTGAACCTGGTGTTTTTATTGTTTTTTTTTCTCTTTTTCTTTTTTATTCTTGTGTTATTAACTTCATTATCACTATTCTCTTATCCCTATTCTCACCCTCTTCACTTTCCCTCCTTCTCCTGTGCTACAATCCATTGTTCTCCCTCCCAACTACTTTTTCTGCCCCTTCTCATTCACTCTCTCCCCTGTCTTCACCCCCCCTCCAATACTCCCCCAACCTGTCACCACAGTACCCCTCTCTCCTACACACTCACAACCTGCTGACTAGCCTACTATAGCAACAGTACACACCCCCAACCTCCTGCAATCCCTGACACAAACATCTTCCACTACAACAGAAACACACCCAAACACACAAAAGGACCTCAAAACCCTGCAGCCCCCATACCTCTTAACACCCATCCTTTTCCCATATACCCCCTTTTTTTAGTACCACCTTTACCAATTCCCCAAAATCTATAACAAGCCTAATAACCATTACCTCCCCCCACTCCCACTGTTTATAGATATTATCACCAAGGGGTTTTCTATATAATATGTAAACAACTGGTCTGGCATTGAGCCTGTGAATTTGATATTGCTAAAGTATACCTCCAGACCAGGGACAGATAGAGCACATCAATCTAGCTAATGTCAGTCACAACACAAAAATTAAATCAGGGAAGGAAATCAGTCGATCAAATCCACCAACTAGCCTACCAGAAACACAGTTACACAGCACCAAGTGGAGCAATGGGAAGAAAAAGGGATGGAAACCACTCTCCTCAAAAAAATAATTCAATACAGGAGTCAGTGGGAAGTGAAGGAAATGGATACCCAGTTCCTGACCTCAACAAAACAATGATAAATGTTGCTAAGGAACCCAGTGACACCCACAGGAAAAAACCCTCAAAAAAGAAATCTTAGAAAAAAATCTCTGAGAAATTCATGTAAAAGATACTAGACATGGTTAACCAGAATGTACAAGATGCACTCAAGAAATTTGAAGACACTCAAGAAATTTTCAAGACACCAAAAAAAAAGAAATTGAGCTGACACAGAAACAAGAAAGAAACTCAGGACTTCAACAAATATCAAAGTGAGACAAAGGACACTATAAAAAGAGAGATATGTGAATTAAAGAGAACACCACAAATTATAAAAGAGGAGTTGAACAAAGATATGGAAAACCTCAAAAGAAAGTATCAAACAGAAATCCTAGAAATACAAAGTCCCTATAGTCACTCCAGATGATTAGAACAAGTGGAAGACAGACTCTCAGAGCTCGAAAATAAAACAGAAATTAAAGAAAAAACAGAAGAAATCTTCGTGAAACAACACAAGAGCTGTAAAAGGAATACGCGAGATCTCAGCAACTCCATCGAAAGACCAACCCTGAGAACATGGGCACTGAAGAAGAAGAGGTGCAAGCCAAAGGGATACAAAACATATTCAATAAAGTAATGACAGAAAATATCCCAAATCTCGAGAAAGTTTTGCCCATTCAGGTACAGGAAGCCTCCAGGACACCAAACAGACTTGACCAAAATACAACCTCCCCACGCATATTATCATTAAAATGACAACCACAGAGAACAGAGAAAGAATGTTGAAGGCTGAGAGAAAAAACAAATAACATATAAAGGTAAACCCATCAAAATGATGGCAGATTTCTCCACAGAAAACTTAAAAGCTGGAAGGGCATGGAGTGAGGTATTTTGGACACTGAATGAAAATAACTTCATCCTAGAATAATCTACCCAGCAAAACTATCATTTGAAATTGACAGAGCAATAAAAATCTTTCATGATAAACAGAAACAAAAACAATATATGACCACCAAGCCACCACTAGAGAAGATTCTGAAAGGAATTCTACACACAAATGAAAGCAAACAAAACCACAAGAGGACAGGAAGTATCACACCATAGAAGAAGAAAAGACAAGTAATCTGAGAATAGTATTGATTCAACTGCACACAATCAAATCCTTAAACAACAAAAACAACTAAATGAAAGGAATCACCGCATACCTATCAATACTAACACTGAATATTAACAGACTCAACTCTCCCATCAAAAGACACCGTTTGGCAAACTGGATTAAAAAGGAAGATCCAACAAGCTGTTGTTTACAAGAGACCCATCTCATTGACAGAAACAAGCAACTGGTTTAGGATGAAAGGCTGGAAGATTTACCCAGCCAATGGCTCCCGAAAACAGGCAGGAGTAGCAATACTTATCTCAGACAAAGCAGATTTCAAACTTACATTGATCAAGCAACATAAAGAAGGACACTCCATGCTAATAAAAGAGGAAATACACCCAAAGTAAATAACAATTATCAACCTGTATGCACCCAACGTCAATGCACCCAATTTCATCAAACATACTCTGAAGAACTAAAAACATGTATAAACTCCAACACAGTGGTAGTGGGAGACTTTAATAACCCCCTATCACCTATAGATAGGTCATCCAAACATAAAATCAATAAAGAAATTCTAGGCGAGGATGTGGGGAAAAAGGACCCCTTGTACACTGCTGGTGGGAATGCAAGCTGGTGGAACCACTCTGGAAAAAAATTTGGAGGCTTCTTAAAAATCTAAACATAGATCTGCCATATGATCCAGCAATCCTACACCTGGGGATATACCCAAAGGAATGCAACACGATTACTCCAAAGGCACCTGCACACCCATGTTTATTGCAGTGCTAATCACAATAGCCAAGTTATGGAAACAACCAAGATGCCCCACTATTGATGAATGAATCGAGAAAATGTGGTATTTATACACAATGGAATTTTACTCAGCCATGAAGAAGAATGAAATCTTATCATTCGTAAGTAAATGGATAGAACCGGAGTACATAATCTTAAGCAAAGTTAGCCAGGTTCCGAAGGCCAATAATCACATGTTCTCATGTATGGATTATGCATCTAAAACAAATGCAGTAATGTTATTGGACGTTGGTCACACACTGAGGGGAGAATGCACACAAGGGAGGAATAGGGAAAGTAAAGGAAACCTAAAACTTGAATGTGGTTGATGTGCTCACTGTAGAGGAGCAAATAAAGAAATCTTAAAGTGGCAGAGACCACTGTGGGAAGGGGACTAAGAAATAGTGAAGAGTTCTGGTAGAGATGAACCAATGTGGGTTGCAATACACAAGTGCATGGAAGCAATGCTAGGAATCTCTCTGTATAGTTATCTTTACCTCAAACAAGCAAAAATGCTATGTCTTTCTTATTATCTCTTATGTTTTCTCTTCAACAAAATCAGAAAACAATACGGTGGAGTAAGTTCTGCCTGGAAGCAGGAAAGGGGGAGGAGGGGGGATGGGAGGTAGCCCTTATAATGTATACACATATAAGTATGTAAAAATGATAAAATAAAAGGAGAAAAAAAGATGATTGCCTATATCTGTGATTATATTAGAATCATCGAACTGCATACTTTAAATGGGTGAACTAAAATAAAGCTGTTTTACAGAAATGCTATTTTTCTTACAAAAACAGAGAATAGGAGAGCCTGCCTTTGGGGTAGGTTCCAGTGGGAGGAGGGAGGATGTGGGGAGAGGGTGTAGGAGGGTGAATTGATGCCAATATTATGTACACACATATGAAAATGGAAAAATAAGACCCGTTGAAACTGTTCCAGGAATGGAGGGAGGGATAAAGGAGAATGACAGAGGGGTGAATTCAACTATGATATATTTGATATACTGTAAGAACTTCTGTAAATGTCACAATGTACTCCAGGCACAGCAATGATAGAAAAAAATAAAAATAAAGCTGTTTTAACTCTTGGCAAACACTTTTTCAAAATCAAGAAAATTATTTCCCCGCAATGGATTTTGGGGGAAAAAACATTGTTTATTGTCACTTTGTCAGGTGCAGGTGACCAGACAACACTACTACCATCAGTTCATATTGTAAGGCAGTACAAAGAGCTGGCAGTTGGAGGCTTACATTGGTCGAGGGGTTTACGTGAGTAGTTGTTTCATCATCAGATGGGAACTGATATATCCGGATGCCACTGTTGGTCAATTCACTCATTATCCTATTCTTAAACTTTTGTAAATCACTCTTAGAAATTGTATCCGCTTTGGCAATCAGTGGTATAATATTCACCTGTGAAGAGGAAAGACAAACTATCACCATTGAGGAGCTGTTGTCCACCATGCAGTTTTCAGTCTACATCTTACAACCTCTGGAAATTAATTTGCATAACTAGATAATCACCAGCTGTCAACCCTTTCTTACAAAATTGTTTTTGCAAAGTCATCAGTACTGTGGAAGATTCAGCTTTTACCAGAATTTGGGATTAGAAGTCTTCATCTTGCTTCACTTCTAAAAAAATCTTGTACTTCCAACACATCTGGACTTAGTAAAATTTAGGCAATGGATGGAAGATAAGACAGCAGAAAAACACCCTTGACCATCCATGTGAAATTCTCCTTACAAAAATTATGAATTTCCTATATCTGGAAAACAGCTTGATGATAACCGATGTCCATAAAATTAAAAATAAAACTATGTCCCTGACTACTGAAATTCAGGTCAGGTGTGGTGGCTCATACCTGTAATCCCAGCTACATGGAAGCCATACATGGGAGGTACTGCAGTCCCAGACCACCCCAGGCAAAAAAAAAAAAAAAAAAGGCAAGACCTTATCTAAAAAATATCTAAAAGCAAAAATTGCTAGAGGCATGGCTCAAGTAGTAGCACACTTGCCAGTACTGCCAAAAAAAGAAAGAAGAAATTAAGGAAGATCTTAATTTACCTAGAAATCTAATTTCTTTGAACTGTATGTCATTACCATATAAGATTAGTATGAAGTTTTTTTGCACATTGAACAATCCATAACAAAAGTTAAAGCTTTGTATTGAAGGGAACCTGACTTTGGAGCCTTCTCATTCTTCACCTGAAAGAAGTTGAGGTCAGTCTGTTATATCAGAGCAGAATGCAGAAAAAAATCTGATGTCACACCTTCATTCACATGCACATTGCCCTCCATTGAAAAAAAGACAGACCTTTGAATTCACTTGCAATAATTTTGGACTTATGTAAGAGTTATACAAACCATACAGAGGAGGAAATCCTAATTTTCCCAAAGCCACAGACCAGCCAGTGGTAGGGCTAGATTTTGCAATCAGACAGCTTGAACCCACAGTCCTTGATTTTAATCCCAGAAAGCTCAAGACACTTTCTCAACGTCACAGAAAGCTAACAATTTATGATAATAAAGCAAATATTCCAAAGCTGCTTCTGAATGGAGGAGATGAAAATGAAGGAATAGGGCTGATGGGCTTCATACACATACAGGAAATGGAATGATGAAACCTCTTGTAATTGCTCTGAGTGGGACAGGAAGAGGGTGGCATGGGGTGGGGGTGGGGGAGTGGGTGATCTAACAATGTAAGGCTATTCAGAATTGTCACAATGAATCCCCCGTACCATAAATATATGCTAATAAAAAAAATTTTTTAAAGCTGTTTCCACTGACAGAAAACCCTATGAACTTTATAGATTCCGTACACTTTTTCTGTATGGATGAGACTGCAAACTTGTACTTTCCAGTTTTTATATTCATTTAGAATGATTTTCCATACATTTAGATTAAACTATGAAAAAACTAATGACTAGAAAATTTAACTAAGTGGACAGGGTCGCATATAAATTTCTTGTTTGTTATGTAACTACTTAATTGACTCTTGGAATACATGCTTACAGGAAATTCAAACAGTGAAGAAAAGTACAAAGCAAAGAATGAAAGTCTCCTAGGACCAGTTCTGGCCTCTGAGAGAAGCCCTGAGCAAATATGAGCACTGTAGTGCATGCCTTTCCAGCCATTTTTCTTGGTTTATGCAATTATATTCATAAATGGTATCATTTAAGATTTTTTAAATTCTGAGTTTTTTTTTTAATGGAATATCTTTAAATTTGGAGTGTTAAAGAAACTAAGAGAGCCAGGTGTGGTGATCATGCCTATAAGCCCAGCACTCGGGAGGCTGAGGTTGGAAGATCACAATTCCAGGCCAGTCTGGGCTACATAACAAAACCCATCTCAAAAAGAAAAACAAACAAATGGGGGAGGCACAGTTAAGAAGGTCACAGTCTGAGGCCAGCCCCAGGCAAAAATGTAAGACCCTATCTAAAAAATAACTAAATCAAAAAAGGATTAGGGTGTAGCTCAAGCATTAGAGAGCCTGCCTAGTAAGCATGAGGTCCTGAGTTCAAACTCCAGTAACAGCAAAAAAAAAAGGGGGAGTGGGGAGAGACTGAGAGAGAACTTGAAGGAAGAGATGATGTCTTTGCCCCCATCTGATGCCCCAACCCTCACAGATCTGATCCATCTAGCCTTCAGCAGATTCCACCACAGAGAAGTGGTCCATCTGTGCTGCCTGGGAGCAGGCTGAACATGTTGGAGCTTTGGCACAGGGTCACATACGTCTTTAAGCCCCTCTGCCTGTGCTGCACAGCTCATTCCCTGCAGGATTTCCTAGAGAAGCAGGAGAACCACATCACCATGGTTGTAGGTAGGTGTGGGGAGTATCAGGCCAGAACCCTTTTGCCCCTGCTGTAAGGTGCCCACAAGTCTCTCAAGGACTGGGTTATTGGTTCCTGTACAGCAAGGTTCTTAACCTGTTCTTGTGCCGGGGTCTCAAATAAATTTCATCAAGATTTTTCTAAAATCCATGGGGATAAGCAGCCTGTCAAAAGGGAGTCCACTGGCCATCAGTGGCTCACACCCGTAATCCTACCTACTTGGGAGGATCAAGATTCAAGGCCAGCCTAAGCAAATAGTTCATGAGATTCCATCTGCAAAATAACCAAATCAAAATGGGCTGGAAATATGGCTAAAGCAGTAGAGCGTCTGCTTTGAAATCATGAAGCCCTGAGTTCAAACTCCAGTCCTATCAAAAATGGGGGGAGGGAGCCTGCATACATTCCAAGCTTTCTCTAGTGGAATCATGCTTCCATGGCCCTTTATACAGAAGACAATAGCTACCTGCATGATCCTGCATTCTGAATCCACTCTTGATAGGATTTGTAGCCAGACTTAGAAAAGCTTCATGGCTCACATCATCAGTTGTACCAAAAATGAAAGGGATTATTTTATATTATCATATGGTAAACTTTATTTCAAAAATAACACAAACAGCCATGATCTGAATTAGTATTTAATCACAGGAAAATTAACTAAAGTTCTATTTTAGTGTTTTTACCTGCATCTCCCTTTCCAAAGAAGTATAATTTTTAATTTAAGTTATCTAGAAAGTAAAGTAAGGTTGAATTCTACTAAATATTGAAGTCTCCCTCCCCCCAAATTCATATGTGGAAGCCCTAACCCTCTTCATCTCAGGATGTGACTGTAATCATAGAGCCTTTAAAAGGTGATTAAATTAAAATGAAGCTTCATGGTGGGGTCTAATCCAATCTGACCCATGTCCTTATAGGAGAAAAGCCATGTGATGAGGAAAGAAGCCATGTGATGAGGAAAGAAGGCTGTCATCGGCCAAATGAGAAAAGAGATTTCAGAAGAAACAGAACCTGGTGTTGACATCCTGAGCTAGCCTCCAGTTCAAGACTACTAGCCTGTACAAGAAAATATTCTTTTATTTTTTTTAAGCCATCCACCAACCATTCCATTTTGTTATGGAAGCCCTTGAAAATGCATACAAATGCTTTAAAGACTAATGGGGAATAATGTTAAAATATATGCACCAGCTGGGTGCTGGTGGCTCACACGGTAATCCTAGCTACTTGGGAGACTGAGATTGGAATGATCACAGTTCAAGACCAGCCTGGGCAAACAGTTTGCAAGACCCCATTTCCAAGAAAAATCTGAGTCAAATGAACTGGAAGTGTGGCTCAAGTGGTAGAGCACCTGCTTTGCCAGTGTGAGTCCCACCAAAAAAAAATGCACATATGACAACATAATACATATTTGCTGCAAGTATGTTGTCACCTCAAAATACATATTAAGCTTAAAACGTTGGTGGATTTTCCAAACACACCTTACTGTCAATGTTCTTCATTGTTAACAGATCGAGTGACTTTAGAGAATGTCCTGTAGGTGAGATGAAGTAAAGGCATGCATGGATTCGAGAATCGTGATACTCGAAGATGGAACGTTTAATCTTCAATTCTTCCTGAAGATAGGCCTCAAATTGAGCATCGAGGTAGTCAACCACAGGCTGGTAACTAAAACGTAATTATTTTAAAATTAGCATACCAAATTGATAAAATCAAAATCATTTTTTATTTATAGTTAATATGTACACTAAACAGCCTGTCACGTTGATAAAATTATGCATTATGTATCCATATAAAGATAATTCCAGGCACATGTATCTAGAAGTCTAGAAGTCCAAAACACTAAGAATGGCCAAGACAACAACCAAGAAAACCAAGGAAGTCATACTGCTCAGATATCAGAGGTTTTGTTTGTCTGTGGTGGTGGTGGTGGTGGTGGTGTGTACTGGGGGGTTGCACTCAGGGCCTTACACTTGCTAGACAGCATATATCACTTGAGCCACTCCACCAGCAGCCCCTTTTATGTTGGTTATACAGTAGATAAAGAGAAGAGAATCAAACTCAACAATGAAAAAAAAAGAAAGAAAACCTTTCTCTACAAGAAAGGAATACAGTATATACAAAACAGAACATTTTTTTAAAAGAATGACAGGAGTATACCTTTAATTGTCAATAATAACCTTGAGTGTACTTGGATGAAATTGTCCAATTAAAAGATATAGGCTGGTTGAATTGCTTTTTTAAAACAACATGCAATGGTATACTACCTATAAGAAACTCAATCCATAAGTAAACACAGCAATAGACTAAAAAGTGAAGGGATGAAATAAGATAGACCTTACAAACAGAAAACAACCTGGACTAGTTATGCTTAGATAAAGCAGACCTTCAGACAAAAACACAAAGAAATCACTATATAATAATAAATTAACCAACTCAACAATAATAACAATTATATGTGTACCCAAAACTGGTGAATTTGATTATATAAAGCAAACATTAAATCTGAAAGGAGAGATATACTTTAAAACAATAATAGTCAATGACTTCAATACCCCATGTTCATCATCGATGACAAATCATTCAGGCAAAAAAACTGAAGAGAAACATCAGAATTAAACTACACTATAGACCAACCGGACCTAACAGATATTCACAGAACAGTTCATTCAACAACTTCAGAATACAGATTTTTTTCTTCACCACATGGAATATTATACATGATAGATGGTTCATTAACCCACACAGGCTATGTCTTGAAAAATTCCAAAACAAAATGAAAGCATATATACTAAATAATACTAAATATCAACACAAGGTACTTTAGAAAATGCACAAATGTATAGAAATTAAATAACACATTCTCTTGAACAACCAATGGATCAATGGTGAACTCAAAAGGGAAATTTACAATTTTTTTAAAAAAATTAATATAAAACATACCAAGACCTGTGGGATAAATAAAGCAGAAGGAGACCAACACTGAAGTATTGCAATAAATATCTACATTGAAAGGATAGAAATTTTTCAAATAAACTAGTGATGCCATTCAAGGAAATATAAAAGAAAGAATAAACCAAATCCAAAATTAGTAGAAGAAAAAACACAACAGTGATCAGGCCAGAAATAAAATATAGACTGAAAATACAAAAAGATCAATGAAAGGAAGAGCTTCTAAAAAAAGATAAAATCCACAAATCTTTAGCTAGACTATCAAGGAAAAAATACTGAAGACCCAAATAAAATCAGGGATAAAAAAGGAGACATTGTAACTGATACCACAGAAATACAAAGGATCTCCAGGAACTATTGTGAACAACTAAATGCCAAGAAACAAGTAAACTTTTGGACACATATAACTTACCAAAATTGAACTATGAGGGCATAACACCTGAATGGACCAGTAACAGACAACAAATTTAATCAACAATAAAATATTCCCTAACAAAGAAAATCTCAAAAGTGAATGGCTTTACTGCTCATTTTTACCAAAAAAATATTTGGCAGTACTGGGGTTTGAGCTCAGATCCTCACACTTCCTAGGTTAGGCAGGCATTCTATCACTTGAGCCACTCCACCAGCCCTTTACCAAGAGTAAATAAAGCTATAAAACTTAAACTTCTCAAATTATTCCAAAAAATTGAAAGGGAGAGAAATATTCCAAACATATTCTACAACACAAGCATTACCCTAGTAATTAATTATTCTAACCCAAGCAAGAATACAAAAAAGAAGAAAATTGCAGACCAACATCCCTGTGAACACAGATGCAAAAACTCAATAAAATAAGAGCAAACAATCCAGGCACCAGTGGCTCACGCCTATAATGCTAGCTACTTGGGAGGCTGAGTTCAGGAGGATCAAGATTCAAGACCAGCCTGGGCAAATAGTTCATGACACCCCATCTCCAAAATAACCAGCGCAAAACGGACTGGAGGTGTGGCTCAAGCGGTAGAGCACCTGCTTTGCAAGTATGGAGCCCTTAGTTCAAACCCCAGTACCACAAAAAGAAAAAAAAGTTAAAAAACTTTTTGATGTTGACCAAAATACTCACAAAACTCCCAAGCTGAAAGTGTTAAAAAGCTAGTTACTGGTGGGATTACAGTGTAAAATAACAAGAATGACATTTGGAAATTTACATTGAAAGGGGGGTTGAGAAATTGTGCAGGGGCCTGAATTCTTGTTAAAGTGGGTTTTCATGCCACCTAGATTATTTTACTTTTTTACAGAAATATGTGTGACTTAGGGAATTGATTTTAAATGAATAATCTACTAATAAACAAATGTGTGAAATATTTAAGAAACAACTTTATCATATAAAGGAGGAATAACAGATTGATCCCCAATACTTCCATGTCCTAATCCCTGGTGATTTTATTTGGGGGGGAAGATGAGGATATAGATGTAATTAAGAATTTTAAGAGCCGGTGGTGTGGCTCAGTGGTAGAGTACCTGCCTAGCAAGCATGTGAGGTCCTGAGTTCAAACCCCAGTAACACAAAAAAAAATTGATGAAATATCATCATAGGTTATCTGGTATACCCTCGATCCTATGATAATTGTCCTCAAAAGAAATCATAAGAGCAGAGGAGAAGCTATGAGAAGATAAAGGTAGACATTGTAGTGACACAGCCAGAAGGAAACACAAGGGATACCAGAAGCTGTGAGAAGCAAAGAAAAAATTATTCTTCTAGAGCCTCAAGATGAAGTTTGGTCCTTGTGACACCTTGACTTTGGACTTGTAGGTTCCATAACTGTGCAAGAATTGGTTTCATTTTTTTAAGCCACCAGTTTACAGTAACTTCCTGCAGCAAACTCAGGAAAGTGACACAGGATGCACTGTCTTCTTTGGGTCTCATTCCACACTACAGTAAGATGTGCAGAGTGCAGTAAGCACTGACACTGAGACTGACACTAGATTAAGCCTTTTTCTTCTTCTTCTTCTTCTTTTTTTTTTTTCCGGTGGTACCAAGGATTGAACTTGGCGTTATGCTTACTCTATCACTTGAGTCACACCCCCAGTCTTTTGCTTCTAGTTTGTTTGTTTTTCAGAGAGGATCTCACACTAACTTTCCTCAGGCTGGCCTTGAACTGAGGTCTTCCTGCCTCCACCTCCCAAATATCTGGTGTATACCACCACACCTGGCTTGTTTTTGAGATAGGGTCTTGCTAACCTTTTGTCCAAGCTGGACTCAAACCTCAATCCTCCTGTCTCTGCCACCTGAGTAGCTGAGATTTTAAATTTTGATTTGATTTGATTTTGCTGGTACTGGGGTTTGAATTCAGGGCCTTGCACTTGCTAGACAGGTGCTCCACCACTTGAGTCATGACCTTTTGCCTTAGGTATTTTTTAGGTATGGTTTCGAGTTTATGCCTGGTCCGGCCTGGACCACATTCCTCCTATATATGCTTCCTGCAAAGCTGGGATGATGGACACACACCATCATGCCCAGTTTTTATTGGTTACGATGGGGTCTCACTAACATGTTTGCCCAGACTGGCCTCAAATCTCAATCCTCCCAATCCCTGCCTCCTGAGCAGGTGGGATGACAGGCATGACCCATCACACCCAGCTAATCTTGTATTTTAAAAAAAAAAAAAAGTACTTTCAAGGACTGGCAGAGTGGTTCAAATCATAGAACACCTGCCTAGCAAGACTAACAAGTGTGAGACCCTGAATTCAAACCCCAGTACTGCCAAAAAAAAAAAAATACTTTCAGATAAACTGACTACAAAGGGTGATACTCATTTTCTAAAATATTAAGAACTATTTAAGCACCAAGTTATCTGTATTTTCTTTGGCTCCTTTCCTAATAACTCTGTTTCTTTCGTAAGTTTCACCCAAATCAGTTTCTTTTTTTTTTTTTTGGCAGTATTGGAGTTTGAACTCAGGGCCTCTCATTTACTAGGCAGGTGTCTACCAGTTGTGCCATGCCACCCCAAATCATTTTCATATTTAAGTTATAACTTGAGTATTTGTTCAAAACCTTACTTTTAACTAATAGTAGTGTGAATGTTTAGAATATTGTTCTCTGAAAAGAACAAATATTTTGATTGGTGAATTGGCCAGTTTCTGTGGTGTGAATGCCCACACCCTGGTTGATTGCAGAGTTGGGAAGATATGCTCTCATGACCTGGTATTCATTAGCTTCAGCACAACACGGATCTGAATCACAAGACACAAGCCAGCACATGAAAATTATCTTACTCTGAAATTAACTTGAGGTAAGTAGGAGAGTCCCATCTTATCATTAATATGCAAACATTTCAAAAAGGAATATGAATCTAAAACAACTTCTGTGCCACAATTTACCTTCCTCTGTCACAAATATGATATAGGAACTATTCTGATAAAAAGAACTTTTAAAAGTCTATCATATTAGAGAAGAGATGAGGAAATAAGCTAAAACTAGTAGAAACTACAGAAACAATTTTTTGCTATAATTGGTTAATTCAAAATCTTGTCAGAAAAACCAGATAACTGGTATTATATAAGTGTCAATTTAATAAGAAAACTACTGAGGCTGGGCACAGTGGCTCACACCTGTAATTCCAGTTACCAGGGAGGCAGAGATTGGAAGGATTGGAGTTTGAGGCCAACCTGGGCCAAAAGTTCAAGAGACCCCATCTCAATCAATAACCAGGTATGGTGGCATGTGCTGTTATCCCAGCAACACAGAAAATATAAATAGGAAGATCCCAGTCCAGACCAGCCAGGTCATAAACTCAAGATCCATATAGAGTGGCTCAAGTGGTACCGCCTAGAAACAAGACCCTGAGTTCACACACCAGTACCACCAAAAAGGAGGAGGAAGGGGGTGGGGGAGAAGTAGGTGTAAGAGGAGGTGTTGGAGGAGGGAGAGAAAGAGAAGAAGAAATACTTGCTTAGAAAAGAATGAAAATCTAGAAGGAAAAGTATCAATCACCTAAGAAGAATTTTACAATTTAGTCTAGGAAAAAGAAGGCAAATACTTTGAAATGAGCAAACCTGCATTAATTAATAAGAAGGCACTAACCTGGCTTCTTTGTTTATTTGGTCACCATACCCCACTGTTTTCACGACAGTCAATTTCAGCTGAACGTTGGTTTCATGAAGTTCATACGACTTCACTTTAAGTCCAACATTTGAGTAAAAGTGTGAGGATTTGTTATCCTTCAAGTTGGTATTAAACAGTGTGTTAATCAGTGTCGTTTTTCCAATTCCAGTCTCCCCTGTAATAAACACAGATGTGTCTTCACAGGGCATAGAATGGTTTATAAGTAACACTCTGAAACCTTACCGTAGCTTAAAGGGTTCCAAAAAAGTAAACCTCAAACTCATGTAAGTAAAGGGTAGAATGATGGTTAGAACCTGAGGACAGAGAATGGGGAGTTATTGATAAAAGGACACAAAGTAAACAGGATAAAAGGATACAAAGTTTCAAGTAGACAAGAGGAATAAGTTTTAAATTAGTTACACAGCAGGGCAACTATAGTTAATAATGTATATTTCAAAACAACTAAGATAATGCATTTCAAATGTCTCACTATAAAAATTGATAGGTGGTCTAGGGCATTGCTCAAGAGGTAGAGCACTTGCATAGAAGTACACAGCTCTGAGTTCAAATTCCACTACTGCCCCCAAAAAAAGATTTTAAAAAATCAGTACAGCCATATGCTGGTGGCTCACGCCTGTAATCCTAGTTACTCAGGAGGCAGAGATCAGGAGGATCACAGTTCAAAGCCAGACCAGGCAAATAGTTTGAGAGACTCTATCTTGAAAATACTCATCACAAAAAAAGAGGACAAGTGAAGTGATGAATATGCTAATTAACTTGATTTATTTATTCTGCATTGTATACAAATATCAAAACACCACATTGTACTCCATAAATTATACAATTATAATTAATCAATTTAAAAATATTTATTTCAAAACAAATAAATAGGGCTGGCAGAGCAGAGTGGCTCAAATGGTAGAGAATCTGCCTAGCAAGCATGAACACCTGAGTTCAAACTCCAGCACTGCCAAAAAAAAAAAAGTAACATCAAATAAATAAATAAAGGGTGTCAAATACTTCAAAGACTGGGATCTCTCCCTTAATCTTTAACATGGTGTAGAAAGAAATTATGAACTGAGTTATGTCATATATTGAAGGATGCTGAAATGTTTAAGTAAAAATGTTTAAATAATAAGGGTGAGAAATGGAAACCAATACGAAAAGAAATGGTCTTGAATTCACAGAACCAATGTGTAAGGTAAGCTGGAGTGAGGAGAAAAATGAAGTGATGATTCAATGTGGTGTTTGCTACTTACCCACACAGAGAATGTTGAAAAAGAATCCTTGTTGGATAGACCTGTTCACCAACTGATAGGGCAGACATTCAAAACCAAAATGGCCAAGGGTAGTTAAGCAACGGATGTTTTCATTTTGCTTAAATAAAAGGAAATTTAAAAGATTTTGATTAAAACAGGAAATAAAGTCTTTTTGAAAGGACAATAATAAAAACATGTTAAAGAAAGTAGAACTGATTATCATAGTTTAGACAAGATGCAAATATATTAAGTAAATTGTTAATATTGTTACAAATAAGCTGAATCTATCTCTAACCACACTCAAAAAGGATACTTACAAAGAATAAAGAAATGCACAAAAAACTTCAATGCTTTTTTCTCAAATAATTAATGACTTCCACATAAAAGGGCGAATTTTCACACCTTCATTCTGTTTTCATGTGATAATATATTAAGAAAACCTAGTACATATTTATATATGGGAAGTAACCAAAATGAACTTGAAATATAAATTTAAAAATCAAACACAATTACTTTAAATTTTTCATATACCCTCAAAACATTTTTTTATTGGTGGTACTAAGTATTGAATCCAGGGCCTTACATCTGCTAGGCAGGTGCTCTACCACTTGAGCCACTCCACCAGCCCTTTTCCCTTTGGTTATTTTTGAGAAGCAGTCTCACTTTATACTGAGGCTGGCCTGGATCATAATCCTCCTATTTGTGCTTCTTCATGTAGCTGGGGATGACAGGCATGAGACATCATGCCCAGCCATTGGTAGAGATGGGGTCTTGCAAACTTCTTGCCCACACTGGGCTCAAGTTGCAATCCTCTATCTCTGCCTTCCTAATAGCTAGGATTACAGGCATGCACCACCACCACCATGCCTGACTTGAGAATGTTTTCAATATCAAATTGTTAAAGGAATCGACTGCTAACAACACTACCCTAGAAAACTAGAAATTATGCCTAAAGTTAATAATTGGTCATTTTTAAAAGGTGGGAAGACAGTTCAGGGAAAGTTTAACTATATATTAATTTAACTCCTTGAAATTTCTCCCAAACAACTAGAAAATTCCACAAAGCATTATGTAGAAGTGTTTACTGTAGCCACTTTTTTATAATTATTGACCCATAATAATTGCACAAATTAATCATATTCACTGTGATATTCCATACACACATACATACATCATGCATTGATCACATCCATCTGTCATTCTGCCCTCACTCTTCCATTCTACCACACCTTTATAATTCTCTAGTAATCACCATTCTACTTTTAGGTCAGCTTTTTTTCTTTTTTTTAGTTTCCACATACAGAAGAGATCATGTGATCCTTGTCATTCTATGCCTGGTTTATTTCACTCAGTACAAATGCCCTCCAGTTCTACCCCATTTTGCTACAAACGAGAAATTTCATTTTTTTATTGCTGAATATTCCACTGTATATATACACCACATTTTCTGTATCAGTGCACAGGTAAGTGGATAGTTAGGATGGTTCCACAGTTTAGCTTTTGTGACTAGTGCCACAATTAACATGGACTATGTGTATCTTTGTGTACATTGAATTTCCTTTGGGTATATATCAGGAGTAAGAAGGCTGGATCATATGGGTGTTCTATTTTTAGCTCTTTGAGAAAACTTTAATAAGAGCCTACATAGTGCTGTACTATGTTACATTCCCACCAACAGTCTATCAGAGTTCCTTGTTCTCCACCTCTCTCACCAGCATCTGCTAGTTTTTGGTTTTCTGATAATAGCCAGTCTAACTAGGGTATGACGATGAATTATCACAGTTTCTATTTGCATTTTTCTCATGGCAAATGGTACTGAGCATTGCTTTCAGATGTATTCTATTAATTTGTTAATTACGCAAAATAATGGTTTCATAACAACATTTTCATGTATATATACAAGGTACTTTGATCATATTTATTGACCATTTGTATTTCTTCTTTTGAGGTATCTAATTAAGATCATTTATTCATGTTTTAATTTAATTACTTGGGTTGCTATTACAGCTTTTGCATTCCTTATATATTCTGGATATTAACTCTATGTTAGATAGATAGCTGGCAAGTATCTCCTTCCATTTTGTGGGTTGTTTCTTCACTCTGGTGGTTGCTTCAATTGCTGTGCAGAAGCTTTTTAGTGTGGTATAATCACATTTGTCAATTCTTGCTTTTTTTTCCTGTTTCTGGAGTCCTATTAGGAAATCACCTGTACCAATATCTTGAAGTGTTTCCCCTACAAGCATCTACCAGAACTACTAAGAGACTATATCAATCTTACAAGTCAGTATACATCAATTGTTTCACATCTAGTCTCAGATCAGAGATGTAGATGGCTGAAAAAGGTAACACTAGCAACACTACACTGATAAAGTGACGGACTAAAAGCAAACTATAACATTTTTCAAACTCATCCTAGGGCTGAGGTCACAGATCAACCAACTACTCCAGAGTCTAGGGAGAGAAAGGAGCCTTGACATTCCTAAGCCAGACACAGGAACCAGTAAGAAGAGCTCTTAAGCAAGCAGAAAATTGGTAACAGAGAGTAAAGACATCCTAGGGTCACAAGTGTAGAGGAAATATACACTTCAAACTCAACTGAATATTCCATGGAAAAGTATCTCTCAAGATGCACAACTGGAAGAAGGCAACATGAACAATGCAAGAAGAACAAGAAATTATATTCAGGGCTGAAGGCATGGTTCAAGAGGTAGAGTATCTGCCTGGCAAGCATGAGGCCCTGAGTTCAAACTCCAGGGCTGCCAACAAAGAAAGAAAAGGAAGGAAATGAGGAAGGAAGGAAGAGAGGGAGGAAAGGAGGGAGGGGAAAAAAGAAAAGAAAAAGGAAGGAAAGAAGAGAAATTACACTCAGACCATTCTCCCCTACAAAATGAAAGCTTTTATCTGTGGGGGAAATAATCAAACACCTTTGGTCTTAGGGCAGTGAGAAAACACATTAATGCTTGAGGAAGGGAACATAAAAAAGCCTCAACCCCTGAAGTATGTGCAGAAATTCATGATGAATTCAGAACCATACAAGAAGAACGAAATAGAAGGCCACAACAATGGAATCCAATTGGTTCTTTGAAAAGATAAACAAAATTGACAAACCTTTAGTCAAACTAACCAAAATAAGTCATTCTTTTAAATAAACAGATTAGAGATGAAAAGGAGATATTACAACAGATACCACTGAAATCCAGAGGAACATTTGTGAACATTTTCAAAAACTATATGTCATCCTCATTATTATAATATCTAAAAAGAAAAACTGCATGCCAATAAACTGGAAAATCTAGAAGAAATGGACAAATTTCTGGACACATATGACCTAACAAAATTGAACCAAGGGAATATTTCAAAAAGACTAAATAGCTCAAAAACAATATAATAAACATAGTAATAAACATAATATAGCAAATAAATGGAATCAAGGATAAAAATCACATTATCATCTCATTAGAAGTGATAAAATTCAACATCCCTTCATGATAAAAGCCCTGAATGCCTCACGTATAGAAGAATCAGAATTGGGCATAATAAAGGCTACATAAGACAAAGCCATACCAATATCATACTGAATGGGGGGACTGAACAAGATGAGGGTGTCCATGCTCACCACTCTTGTTTAGCATAGTACTTGGTGATACTGGAAACTTTAGGAGGAGGGTCCTACTTGGAGAGTGGGCATGCCCTCGAGTTTATTTTGTGTTCTCTGTCTTTCTCTCCTCCTTCCTTCTCTCCTTCCCTCCCTCCCCACCATCTCTCCCTTTCTCCCTCTGTCTTGCTCTCCTTCTCTCTGTTACTCTGTGGACCTCTCTTCCTCTCTCTCCCTCTCCCTCTTTACCTACCAGACACCATCCTCTCTCACAAGCTCCTGCAGCCATAGTGTTCTGCCTCTCCACAGGCCCAGAAACAAGGAGCCAAATAACCACCAACTGACATATCTGAAACTATGAGCCAAAATACACGTTTCTTCTTTTAAGTTGCCCATCTCAGGTATTTTGTCACAGTGACACAAAGTGAATTGTTGGGAGGTTCTGGAGTCTTAGTTTGTTTCTCTTTGTTTTATTTTGTTTTGTTTTGTTTGCTGTACTGGGGCTTGAACTCAGGTCCTACATGAGCCACTCCACCAGCCCTTTTTGTATTAGGTATTTTCAAGACAGGGTCTCTCAAACCTATTTGCTCGGGCTGGCTTTGAACCATAATCCTCCTGATGTCTGCCTCCTGAGTAGCTGGGATTATAGATGTGAGCCACCAGTGCCTGGCTTTTTTTTTGGCTTTAAATAGAAATAGTCGGGCTGGCAGAGTGGCTCAAGTGGTAGAGTACCTGCCTAGCAAGCATAAAGCCCTGAATTCAAACCCCAGTGCTGCCAAAAAAAAGTCTTAATGATCCAAACATTGTATGCACATATGAATAAAATAAAAATTTTTTAAATAGTCTTTTATATAAAAAGATCAACAGATTCAAGAAATGTATCAATGCTTGAAATCATCATTGATATTTAAGTCAAGTCTAAGCAACAGAAAAGTTAATTCATTACCAAACATAACAAACAAAACTTTATTATCTAGAACCATACCAGTTTACTGAGTCAAAATTTTCAATTGTACAAAGGGGCTTATTGGAATGTTTCCACACACATGTAATATACTTTTATCATATTTACCCCCCTGTATTATTCTTTCTTATCCTCCTTACCTCCTCTTTTTTTAGTTTTTAATATGCTCTATTATTCAGCTTTCAAAATGCATATAATATACATCATAGCCAGGAAAGACATGAAAAAATGTTCAACATCCTTACCATAAAGGAAATGCAAGTCAAAACACTGAGCTGGTGGCTCACACCTGTAATCTTTGCTACTTGGAAAGCTGAGGTCAGGAGGATTGCAGTTTGAGGCCAGCCTGGACAAATAGTTCTTGAGACCCCATCTCCAAAATAACTAGAGCAAAATGGACTGGAGGTGTGGCTCAAGCAGTAGAGGGCCTGCTTTGCAAGGGCAAAGCCCTGAGTTCAAATCCCAATCCCAACAAAAGAACAAACTTGAGATTCCATATCATCCCAGTCAGATTGAGTCAATATTTTGAAGCTATACAATCTTACTGAAGTACAAAATACACGTTCTATTTGAAAGATATACTTAACTGCATCTTCATCATTAGGTGTTTGTGTGGGCGTAGTCACTAGTTTTTCTGCCATGTCAGACAAAAGAACTAAAATGAAGAGAGAAAACTTCTTCAAATTTACTTACTAATATTATGTTCTTAACATATAATTTGGTTCAATAACAGAGACTAATACAGACATTAACACAAGCTTTAGCTTTTCATTCACACTACTGGCCTGTTTTAAGTTGTAGCTATCTTAGTAGACAGTCTTCTATGTAATAAATAATATATAACATTCAATATAACATAGACTAATACACTTAACCATAGACACACAAAAGGCATCCTTTCAAAAGAATTCCCTTTTGAAATCAACAAGGCAAAGATCACTCTTCTTTTTTAAGGGACTCTTTAAAAAAAAAGAGTCCTTTTAAAAAGAGTTCATGAGAAAGAGAATTTTTGCTTTAAGATATCATAAGACAATAAGAAAGACACTCAAAATTACTTAACTTTCCAGAGAAGCTCATTGGGGGAAGCTGGGAGATTAGTGCAGCCATGGAAGAAGAACTGGAATAAAACTCTAAACAACTCCCTTGGGAATTGAACTAAAGTAATGACGGTCATTTGGGAAGCACCTGTCATACATCCAGCATTGTGCTGAGTTCTTACCTGCTTTACCTGGTAAAAATTAAACTAGATATGACATAGTTATATTTTCATTGCCATATGCCAGGTGGGAAATTCAGACTCATAAATATTAAGTAACTTACTTGCCCAGAGTTTCAGCGATGCAGAACACACAGGTCTATGTTGACTCTGAGGCTGTTGTCCTTCCTTCTATCTGCAAATGTGGGCCAAGTTAACAGTCACTGTACTTGCAACAACTGGGAACAAGGAGGAGAGATAGGGCAGAGCGTGGTGTTCTGATCTGTAAGCAGAACTCCCTGAAAAGGCCACACTACCCTACTTTGAGAACTGCACAAGACACTGGGAATATGAGGCACACTTTTAAAAAAAAGATTATGTACTATGGGTCAAGCAACAATAAAAGCGGACTGAAGAGCAAAGAACGGGTCTATTCCATGGTCTTTTCATTTGATGTATCCTAAGAATTATTCCACTTTCATATGCAAATTTCTCTCATTTTTCCTGATGTTAAGTAAGGTTCTCTAAAATAGTGTTGTGTTGTTTGGTTTACTGTAGTCTAGTTTATATGAAATTTCTATATTTATTTAGCAGAAACTTAGTGTTGGAAATTAAGTTTGAGGGCATTAAGTGGGACTTACAGTCCTTAATTATAATCAACAAATGTTTAAAACACTAAAAAGAGATTGCTCCTTAAATTCTTACACTTATCCTCTCTCAGAACTTGAAGTAATTAACTACAAATTCAAGAGTATCTGCTAAAGATGTTTTGAAAACTACAGATGCAAATTATCTTATATTTAAAAGTCTTCTTACAAATGCCTTAAACAAATAGAGGTATATTTCTCTCCCATATGGGTCCATTCCCTGGACACATAAGTCCAGAGTTGAACTTCTCAAAGTATAGTCCCTGGACCCCTGAAGATCCCTAAGACTTTTTCAGGATGTCCATGGGATCAAAATCTTTTCTAATAATACTAGGGTATGATTTGCCTTTTCCACTGTGTTAAATTTACACTGATGGTTCAAAGCCAAATTATTAAATTATTAAATTATAAATTATTAAATTATTGCGAGCTTCATCAATGCAATGGTACAAATTGTCTTATTAACCTTGTATTTTGTTCACTACACACACCAAAAAATAAAGAAGAAATGTGAGTACCCATAAAGCACTTGTATATAAGTATGAAGGCTGTCTTGAGGAAAACAAGTTCTGTGGTATTGAGTTATGAGACAGTAACTTCTTTTTCATGTCATTTTTATTTTTATTTTTTATTTATTTTTGGTGGCACTGGGAGTTTGAACCCTGGACCTCACACTCACTAGGCAGGCATTCTTACTGCTTGAGCCACTCCACCAGCCCTTTTTTGTGTTGGATTTTTTTCAAGATAGGGTCTTGAGAACTATTTACTGGGCTGGCTATGAACTGTGATCCTCTTCCTGATGTCTGCCTCCTGAGTAGCTAGGATTGCAGGTGTGAGCCACCAGCAGCCAGCCTCATGGACCATTTTTAATTTCAAGAACAACTGACAAGCACTGGTTACTCAGGCTTGGGGTTTTTTGGTTTGTTTGTTTTTTATTTGTTTTATGTTGCATTTAATCAACATCTGTCATTGATGGAGCATGATTTTGTTCTTTTTAGACATACTACTCCGTAGTTTGCTTCTGGCATGCACTAGAGCTGGGATGTGCTGTGACCACATTTGGATCATTGCTCTAGCCATCCTAAGACCTTGATAACATTAGCAGCTGACAATGTCAAAACAGTAGCCATCCAAGAGCACCTTCTTCTGACTCCCAGCCTGAAGAAACTCTTTCATTGTAGGAATGTTACTGATTCTTGTTTTCAATGCCTTCAGCAGAGGGGGTTCAGAGAGAAAAGGAACACTGAGTTCCAGTGTTTGAGACCATTAGCATAGCTTCTCCTGGGGGCATGGCTCAAGAGGTAGGGCACCTGCCTGTAGAATAACTTCCAACACTTGTATGTCTGCCCACTGAATTTGCTGCCAATGAGAAAATCCTCCCCAGGGTCTTTCAAAATCTTATTTTCAGAAATAAAATGTAATATCTGAATGAGAAAACTGGAACTTGCCTATTTTAAAATACAATCTCTACATTATTGAGTTGAGGTAGACAATTTCCTTTGATTTGGCAAAGGCAGTTTCATTATCCCAATGAGCCTCAATTTCTGATTTGGGAAGCAGGGTCTGTTTTCTGCTCAAGACCATTGTTTCATAAGGAAGAAGCTCTGTCTGAAGCCCCCAGAAGGTACTTTCCTCAACCAGAAGCTTCCAGCATACATGCTCTTGATCCATAAAGATGGCTCAGTCACTGAAAAATCACTATGATTATCTATAAATCTGTATCTATAAATTTTATCTGAAGATGAGAGATCACTAATTTTTAAAACAGTAAATTAAATGAAAGGAAGCATTTATCTTCCTTGCTTATATCCCAGGCTGGTCTCGAACTCTCAATCCTCCTGCCTCAGCCTCCTGAGTGCCGAGATTACATGAGTGTACCACCATATCTATCTCAGGAGATTTCTTTCCATTTTAATGGGTTTCATTATGACACTGTCATACATATAAATAATGTACTTTGATCATATTCACCCTCCCAACATAGCCCTCTCTTGTCTCCCCACTCTCCCTTCCCACTGGCCACAGTTGTGTTGCTCACTACACACTTCACTCAAAAAAGGAAGACAACAGCGGTGGTAGTGGCTCACTCCTGTAATCTCAGCTACTCAGAGATCAGGAGGATCACAGTTCGAAGCCAGCCCAGGTGAACAGGTCTCAAGATCCCATCTCAAAAAAAAACCCATCACAGAAAAAGGGCTAGTGGAGTGACTCAAGGTGTAGGGTGAGTTCAAACCCTAGTACTGCCAAAAAAAAAAAAGAAGACAAGTGAGTATCCATAAAGCACTTA